ATTGCTACCCCCACCACCCCACCACCACCCCCACCACCACCCCCCCACCACCACCACCACTCACCACCACCACCACCCCACCACCCCCACCACCACCACCCAGCACCACCACCACCACCCACCACTACACCACCACCACCACTACACCACCACCACCCTACTCCCAACCACCAGCACCCCCCACCACCACCACTTGCACCACCACCAGCACCACCACCACTAGCACCACCACCACCACCACCACCACCACCTCTACACCACAACCACCAGCACCCACCACCACCACCACTAGCACCACCACCACCACCACTAGCACAACCACCACCACCACCACTAGCACCACCACCACCACCACCACCCACCACCACCACCCCCCCCACCACCACTAGCACCACCACCACCACTAGCACCACCACCACCACCACCACTAGCACCACCACCACCACCTCCACCACCACCACCACCTCCACCACCACCACCACCACCACTAGCACCACCACCACCACCTCCACCACCACCACCACCACCACCACCACCACCACCCACCACCACCACCACCACCACCCACCACCACCACCACTTAAAAATATCACTACAACCAACACCATCACAACCAACACCATTACAACCAACACCATTACAACCAACACCATCATAACCAACACCATCACAACCAACACTTGGAAAATCTTGGAAGGAATGGTCCCAAATCTGCACACAGAAATCACTCCCTACGAAAGTAAAAGACTGGGCAGGCGATGCAAAATGCCGCCAATAAAAAGTAGGGGCGCCATTGGTACACTAAGAGAAAACACCATAAGTGTCCGGGGCCCAAGACTGTTCAACAGCCTCCCATCAAGCATTAGGGGAATTGCAAATAAACCCCTGGCTGCCTTCAAGAGGGAGCTGGACAGATACCTAAAGTCAGTGCCGGATCAGCCGGGCTGTGGCTCGTACGTCGGACTGCGTGCGGCCAGCAGTAACAGCCTAGTTGATCAGGCCCTGATCCATCGGGAGGCCTGGTCATGGACCGGGCCGCGGGGGCGTTGATCCCCGGAATAACCTCCAGGTAACCTCCAGGTAACTATCACCATCACTACCACCCACCACTACCAGCTGAACACTTAACATCTTCACAAACCTGCAATAATGGCGCAGGGCAGCATAAATTTACATAATTAGCTAGCCATTCCTCCCAAAAGACCCAACCTGTTACGGTTCATCAACTCAAACATTTGACTTCCACTCGAACATACATTCTTACGAACCTTACAATTCATACCACGAAAAAATATCTATATACACAATAATTATACACAATATCCTTATTTTCATGATTAAATCATTTTCCCTAATTATGATAGACCCCAGAAAGTATATAAATTATTCTCTAGATTATCAGAATATAATGTATTACTGGAATGCAGACTAATTTATTCGTTATAAAGTCTACAGATATTTCTCAATTATCGCTTCCTTGATTATTTTAATATAAAAACTAGTTCTACCATTGATTTATTGACCATATTAAGGCTTTTTTATACCAAAACATACTGTGGGTGTCCCCCTAATGTAACTCATTTACAAGAGGGAGTTGAATCCCACCTGTTCCGTGGTCTGTCATTTATAATATCGTATCCCCACACTGTCGGTGTTCCCATAATAACCAAACACTGTGAATGTTCAAAGCTTTGCCGTACAATGTTCCTCCCTTCCCTTTGTAGCTATAAGTGGAACGGAAGCGCCTTAATCTGTTTACCTTTTGACTTCATTAGGATTAGAAGTCCCCTTTCCCTTCGCCGCTATGGAGGAGCAGGAGATACTGTCTTTTAATTCAGCTAATTAAATCTCAAGCTTATCGACTACATGAGAGTCATTAAATCATCTGTAAACTTTTAACGTATATATACAAATAAGAGATATACGCCTCTCGGTGTATATATCCTATATATATTTCTCAGGGTGGCAGTGTTTGTCTTTCACTTCGTAACAACCTGGTGGTCGGGGTTCATGCGTAATTACAGAGCGGAGTTTAATTGCAGTTGTTTGTGTGGTTCAGATATGGTGGATGGTGCCTTAGCGAATTCGGTTTGTCATCGTTTACACATGTGGATTTCTAATCATGACTTTAGAGAATATAGCGCTCAAGGGTGTTATTAAAGCGGCACTTCACCAGTACACTAACTTTACGGTGCTCCGTAGCCTGGTGGCTAAAGCTCTCGTTTCACACGGCAAGGGTCTAGGTTCGATTCCTAGTGAGGGTAGAAACAGTGGGAGTGTGTCTTTACAAGGGTTGTCTATGTTACCCATCAGTCAGATGGGTACCTGGGTGTTCGTCGTCTGGTGAGGGTTGCATTCTGGGACAAAACTGACCTAATTTGCGGGAAATGCTCTGCATAACAAGCGGCTTTCTGTATAGTAGTATGTCACTGATGTCAGCTATGGTCTGTATACCTTGCACATGTACTTATAGAAATAAAGATATTATTATTATTATTATTATTATTATTATTTATTATTATTATTATTATTATTATTATTAATCTGAGCCTCGAGATACACTAATATCAGTGGTCTGGACCAGGAGCCAAACTAACGTTACTCTACATATGTCACTGTGTCACAAGCTCACAAGTATACATATGTAACCAACTCACAAGTATACATATGTAACCAACTCACAAGTATACATATGTAACCAACTCACAAGTATACACATGTAACCAACTCACAAGTATACACATGTAACCAACTCACAAGTATACATATGTAACCAACTCACAAGTATACATATATAACCAACTCACAAGCATACATATGTAACCAACTCACAAGTATACATATATAACCAACTCACAAGCATACATATGTAACCAACTCACAAGTATACACATGTAACCAACTCACAACTATACATATGTAACCAGCTCACAACTATACATATATAACCAACTCTCAAGCATACATATGTAACCAATTCACAAGTATACACATGTAACCAACTCACAACTATACATATGTAACCAACTCACAACTATACATATGTAACCAACTCACAACTGTACATATGTAACGAGCTCACAAGTATACATATGTAACCAACTCACAACTATACATATGTAACAGGAATACAGAACAACTAGTGCTGCATCGTATTTAAAATGCGGAGTTACTTTCCTACCTGCCGCTGCTTCGTTAATTAGCGACTCCCCACCTGTGATGAAGCTGAAGAAATGAAGGGAAAATATTCTACTCTTATCAAGGGTAAATATTATGTTTAGGGGTGAGGGAAGAAGAGGAAGTAGTAGTAGTAGTAGTAGTAGAAGTAGTAGTAGTAGTAGCAGCAGACTGTCTACATCTTATTAATCCATAAGAGTTATTATCCTATTATGAAGACGGAGTTCCACGAGTTTGGGCTTGAGGCAGAGTGCATGGGCATGTCATTTAATGCTTTTTCGAAGTCCTGTGGTGTTATGGTTGTATCCAAAATTGTTACATTAACCATATTTTGAGCTTCAGTTATAGTCTGGCTTATTTCCGTTATGGTCCTCATGTCCTCTTCCCCAAGAGGTAACCCAGAACAGTGCTACCAGGTGAACTTGTCAATGCTTCTCTTCCAGGAATCGAACTCGTTTGTCTTTTGTTGTAAGCTACACTTTGTACAAGTGAGCTACAAGTAGCCCTACCGTCCGTGTTTCTAGATTTTATTTCTAGCTCTTTAAAATTCACGGACAGCTGCAACATCTGGCCAATTTGAGTAGATTTTTTCAAGTGATCCACGAATTTAATATTGTTCAGTATCTCGCCAGTTATCCAGGGTTCAGTTCGGGTTTTTTTTCTGATCGCTTTTATTGGTACAGTATCATTAATTCTAGTGAATAGTCTTCTAAAACATTCCAGTTTTGTATCAGTGTTTCTTTACTGGAGTTCTTAGTTGATGTTTATTCCTTGTCCTGTGTTGTGCTGTCTGTTCTTTAATGGTTTTCCTGGTGCAGTGTGAGATAAGATGGTCACTAAGATGTATACAAATGATTTTCTTCTTTAATATCAGTTAAATAATGTGGTTAAGCGTGTTGGTTGACAACTACGTAAACCAGATTCCATCATTACTTGTCTGTATTTATTTAGTTCCAGGATTTGGTATATATCTTTAACATCACTCATTGTGTTATTGCTGAAAGCAGTTACTGAAGCCACCAGGTATTTTTATCTCACAGTTTGGTCCATTTCTGGCCAATGTTCTTGTGAAGTGTTCTATGATCTGATGATGTGATGGAGAGAAATAAGAGCACATCTTAGTAGACGAAGCTTCGTTTTGGGCAGCAACACATTAAACAATAGATGTTTCAGGTCGTACAGGTCTAACAACCTCACTCCTTGTCTGTTTTTATCAGTAAATTTTATTTTGAAGTCTACTATTTACTCTTGTCTTGTTACTGTGTCATCTAACCAAGACTTAGAAATTAATTTTATCTTTGGGTAAGGATTTTATTGTAATTTTGCTTCAGTAGTGGCTTGAAATATATATTATCCGAAGATGGATGACTCAAACTTTGATTCAGAGACTACAGGTGAGGACAATTCCAGTGTCAGCCATGTTAAGTGCGAGTTTTCCGAGAAGGCAGCGAGGACAGGCAATATACAGTGGACACACACGACAGTTTCTCCAGTCCCTCTTCTTCCTCCAGTGGAAGCAAGTCACATTGTTTGACTGTATTTGGAAAAGCTTACGCTAAATATACATGATGTACATTTAATATGCCCATATCTGTGTGCTTTCAAGAACACTTTAAAGCAAAAAAAGAGATGCTACCAGGGGCTAAATATACGCTCAGTTACTCGTTCTCCTCCTTCTCTTCCTCCTCCTCCTCCTCCTTCCCCTTCTCCTCTTCCTCCTTCTCGTACTCCACCTCCTCAAGTCCAGGTTGGCGGACACAGGGCATGCGCCGCTATGCACCAAGGCCAGGCTGGAGTGAGTGCTCTTACAGGCCGCGAGGCAGTGGTACATACACCATTCTGGGCTGCAGCAGATCCAAGCACGTTTATTATTGTTGCTGCTTCTGCTTCTGCTGCTGCCGAGTCTGTGCCGACCGTGTTGTAGGTCTGTAGGCCGACACTCAGCTCCTGGGTCCCACCTCCTATCACCTTACCCGGAGTTCTATTCATTAATTAAGGTGAGTATTATATACCCGAATGTTAATTATCCTCACTGATTGAGGTGCGGTATTAGTGTCACACAGGTGTGTGCAGCACTCTAGACAAGTGTGTATACACAATTCTTCTCTTTCGATCAAACTTATGTTCACTGAAGTGTGTATAGACAATACTAGTCTTGGTAATAGTGTTGACACCAAGGTGTGTCGACCAACACTCATTACCTGCACTCATAGGTAAGAATAGTCAACAATATTTTTTTGGCATTATTTCTCTTTATTTCCTTTTACTTTCAGTAAACCTTCTTACGCTGACTGTTAAGGATGTTCTTATAAGAACATAAGAACATAACAAAGGAGGAACACTTATACACTTCGATCATGTCTCCCCTCATTCTTCGTCTAACAAGTGAATGTAATTTAAGGGTCTTCAATCTTTCTTCATAAGGAAGATTTCTAATGCTATGTATTAATTTAGTCATTCTACGCTGAATGTTTTCTAACGAATACATATCCATTCTGTAATATGGAGACCAGAACTGAGCTGCGTAATCTAGGTGAGGCCTGTAAAATGATTTCAGTCTATGAAACAGAATTCTTCTCCAGGCTGAGGGATTTACAACCTCAACCCTACATCTTCAAGAGTGATAGACTGATTACATCGTCTTCACATCTCTAATTCTCCTGCCTACTTTCTGTACGCGACTGAAGAAGCCTACTGTGTAGGCGAAACTTTTCGGAATAAAGTTGCCTAACTGTTGCCTATGTGTCTTACCTACCTAAATGTTGCCTGTCTTACCACGGGAGTGATTTCTTGGGTATCTTTCAGAAGGGGTCTTTTTGATCAGGACCTGTCTTGTATGGGTCAGTAAGCCCTCTGCAGTGTTCCTCCTTTCTTATGTTCTTATTTTATTGATGTCAGCTAGGCCTGTGTACCTTGTACATGTAGTGTGTGCAAAAATGCACTTATGTACAGTACAGGACATTTATTAAAGGAAACGTTTCGCCACAAGTGGCTTGTTCAGTCCTAATGATTTATTCTCTCTCAATCTCTCTCAATCTCTCTCTCTCTCTCTCTCTCTCTCTCTCTCTCTCTCTCTCTCTCTCTCTCTCTCCTCTTTCTCTCTCTCTTCTCTCTATCTTTGTACAACAGGGTTTGACAAGGTTTAAGGATCCCCTAGCTTTATTGACAAGCTATTTACAGGTTAAGGATTCTTAACTTTCTTTGACAACTAAATGCTCGTTACCTACATCAGCTCATTTTGAACATTTTTATTGTTATGGCATACAAGTAGGTGAAAGGTATAAGTTGGAGCCATCTGTGGGCCACATTTTCATTTGATCAACTGATTTATCTGTTGACATCATTATGCTGTACGAATGTGTTACCATACTCGAGTCATCCTGGGTATGTAATGATCTCAGATGGAGGTGATGTTCTGGAGATAGGGTACAGCCAATGAGTTTGCTGCTGGCTGCCCGTTACTGTGGTATAGAAACTTGCTTCTCGCTGTCCTCGAAGTGGATCCAAGTGTGGTATTTTGACATAATTGGCATGTACATACAGTAAGGGCCACACATCCCTCCTATGTGAAGGCTCTTGCTACATTGGAAGATCTTCCAGGATGGGTCCGAAGTGGAGAGGTGAGATTTTGCTCTGGTTCCTACTCTGTCAAGCAGTCAGCAGATATGTGAGAGGGGGGCGGCAAATCAAGAAAGGTGGGCTACTCAAGGTGTGACGTACTTGTGCCTCTCTCTCTCTCTCTTCTCTCCATCCATCTCTCTCTTTCTCTCTCCTCTCTCTCTCTCTCTCTCTCTCTCTCTCTCTATGAAATTTTTCATACGAGCCTGCAAACAAACATATAATATAATTTGTTAGCCCAGTCCAACCAGGCACATATTACTGGCATATATCGACTCGTTTAAGATGACATGAATCATAAAAGTTATGTTCAGCGAGAACATTGTTATTAACTGGTTCATCAGAATGTTTCCCTATATGTTGGGTCCTCTCCAGTTCTGACAGAACACTTGTGCTGCGTCAGTCTTACTTCAAGGTACTTCCTTCTATGTCCAATATATATATATATATATATATATATATATATATATATATATATATATATATTATATATATATATATATATATATATATATATATATATATATACTATATATATATGCAAAATAGCAAGAATGGGTGTTGAATAATAGCTCTAGGCCTTTCGTATTGAAATTACCACATCGTCAGGAGCTTGCAGAGTTGCAGAAATGAGTACGAAAATCTCAGCGAACGTAAATACAGATGTGAGGGGAGAGAAAGAGAGAAAGAAGAGAGTAAAGAAGTGTGAGGAAGCAGAGGGAAAAAACCTAGACAGGAGAGAAATGTAATAACTGGGATTCCTCCTGACACAGATTTTCCTATGTATGTTCACCAGCCCCTTAACACTGTCTAGCCCCTTAACACTGTCTAGCCCCTTAACACTGTCCAGCCCCCTTAACACTGTCCAATCTCTTAACACTGTCCAGCCCCAAATACTGTCCAGCCCCTCACACTATCCAGCCCCTAACACTGTCCCGCCTCTTAACACTGTCCAGCCCCTTAATACTGTCCAGCCCCTCACACTGTCCAGCCCCTTAATACTGTCCAGCCCCTCACACTGTCCAGCCCCTAACACTGTCCAGCCTCTTAACACCGTCCAGCTCCTTAATACTGTCCAGCCCCTCACACTGTCCAGCCCCTGACACTGTTCAGCCTCTTAACACTGTCCAGCCCCCTAATACTGTCTAGCCCCTCACACTGTCCAGCTCCCTAATACTGTCCAGCTCCTCACACTGTCCAGCTCCCTAACACTGCCCAGCCCCCTGACACTCTCCAGCCTCCTAACACTGTCCAGCCCTCTGGCACTGTCCAGCCTCCTCACACTGTCCAGCCCCCTAAGCACTGTCAAGCCTCTTAACACTGTCCAGCGCCCTCACACTGTTCAGCCCCCTAACATTGTCCAGCCCCCTAACATTGTCCAGCCCCCTAACATTGTCCAGCCCCCTAACATTGTCCAGCACCCTAACATTGTCCAGCCCCCTAACATTATCCAGCCCCCTAACATTATCCAGCCCCTAACATTGTCCAGCCCCCTAACACTGTCCAGCCTCCTAACATTGTCCAGCCCTCTAACATTGTCCAACCCCTAACACTGTCCAGACCCCTAACATTGTCCAGCCCCTAACATTGTCCAGCCCCCTAACATTGTCCAGCCCCCTAACATTGTCCAGCCCCCTAACAATGTCCAGCCCCCTAACACTGTCCAGCCCCTAACATTGCCCAGCCCCCTAACATTGTCCAGCCCCTTAACATTGTCCAGCCCCCTAACATTGTCCAGCTCCCTAACACTATCCAGCCCCTAACACTGTCCCGCCTCTTAACACTGTCCAGCCCCTTAATACTGTCAAGCCCCTCACACTGTCCAGCCCCTTAATACTGTCCAGCCCCTCACACTGTCCAGCCCCTAACACTATCCAGCCCCCTAACACTGTCCAGCCCCCTAACACTGTCCAGCCCCCTAACATTGTCCAGCCCCCTAACACTGTCCAGCCCCCTAACACTGTCCAGCCCCTAACACTGCCCAATCCCCTAACACTGTCCAGCCCCCTAACATTGTCCAGCCCTAACATTGTCCAGCCCCCTAACATTGTCCAGCCCCCTAACATTGTCCAGCCCCCTAACACTGTCCAGCCCCCTAACATTGTCCAGCCCCCTAACACTGTCCAGCCCCTAACACTGTCCAACCCCCAACATTGTCCAGCCCCCTAACTGTCCAGCCCCCTAACATTGTCCAGCCCCTAACACTGTCCAGCCCCCTTAACACTGTCCAACCCCCTAACATTGTCCCAGCCCCCTAACATTGTCCAGCCCCCTAACATTGTCCAGCCCCTAACACTGTCCAGCCCCCTAACACTGTCCAAACCCCTAACATTGTCCAGCCCCCTAACATTGTCCAGCCCCCTAACATTGTCCAGCCCCCTAACACTGTCCAGCCCCCTAACACTGTCCACCCCCTAACATTGTCCAGCCCCCTAACATTGTCCAGCCCCCTAACATTGTCCAGCCCCCTAACACTGTCCAGTCCCCTAACACTGTCCAGCCCCCTAACACTGTCCAGCCCCCTAACACTGTCCAGCCCCCTAACACTGTCCAGCCCCCTAACACTGTCCAGCCCCCTAACACTGTCCAGCCCCCTAACATTGTCCAGCCCCTAACATTGCCCAGCCCCTGACACTGTCCAGCCCCTAACACTGTCCAGCCCCTAACACTGTCCAGCCCCCTAACACTGTCCAGCCCCTAACACTGCCCAGCCCCCTAACATTGTCCAGCCCCTAACATTGCCCAGCCCCCTGACACTGTCCAGCCCCCTAACACTGTCCAGCCCCCTAACACTGTCCAGCCCCCTAACACTGTCCAGCCCCTAACACTGTCCAGCCCCCTAACACTGTCCAGCCCCCTGACACTGTCCAGCCCCCTAACACTGTCCAGCCCCCTAACACTGTCCAGCCCCCTAACACTGTCCAGCCCCTAACACTGTCCAGCCCCCTAACACTGTCCAGCCCCCTAACACTGTCCAGCCCCTAACATTGTCCAGCCCCCCTAACACTGTCCAGCCCCTAACTTGTCCAGCCCCCTAACTCTGTCCAGCCCCCTAACCACTGTCCAGCCCCTAACACTGTTCAGCCCCCTAACACTGTCCAGCCCCCTAACATTGTCCAGCCCCTAACATTGCCCAGCCCCCTGACACTGTCCAGCCCCCTAACACTGTCCAGCCCCTAACACTGTCCAGCCCCCTAACACTGTCCAGCCCCTAACACTGTCCAGCCCCCTAACATTGTCCAGCCCCCTAACATTGCCAGCCCCCTGACACTGTCCAGCCCCCTAACACTGTCCAGCCCTCTAACACTGTCCAGCCCCTAACACTGTCCAGCCCCCTAACACTGTCCAGCCCCCTAACACTGTCCAGCCCCCTAACACT